GCGCGTTGTCGTTCCCGTCAGCCACCTCCACCGACACGCTGGCGGTGGCCCAGAGCGAAGGCGAGCCCCCGTCCCGCGCTGTCACCACCACGGTGTAGTCAGAAATGCTCTCTCTGTCCAGAGCGCTGTCCAGCACCAGCGAGTAGTAATTCTTGAAGGTGGACACCAGCTTGAAGGGGCCGTAGGGCGTCAGGGAGCAGGTCACTTGTCCGTTCGCCCCTGAGTCTTGGTCTGATACGCTGATTAGGGCTATAACGGTTCCAACTGGAGAGTTTTCTAATACAGGTAGGGACAGTGATTTGATATATAACTCCGGTACATTATCATTGGTGTCCACAATTTCCACTAGAACCGTGCAATGATCTGCCATTGGGGGAGTTCCTTTATCTATCGCTTCTACTTGGATTTCATATGACTTAGTTTCTTCGAAATCTATTTTACCCTTTACACTGATGTATCCATTTACTGGGTCTAAGTGGAATTTCGACAGAATATCTGCAGATATGTCTGTATTGAAAGAATATTCAATGTCCTTATTTATTCCTTCATCCAAATCAGAGGCATTAACAATCACCACTAAGGTACCATTTGGTGCATTTTCGAATAATCTGACCTTGTAGACCGTCTTCTCAAACGTTGGGGCGTTGTCATTCACATCTAGAACGGTGACATTCAGTTGAGTTGTACCAGTGAGTTCTGGTTTCCCACCATCAATTGCCTTTATCAATAAATGATGATTAGGTATGTCCTCTCGATTTAAAAGTTTTTTCAACACCAGTCCAAGAGATTTAATTTCTTCATCATTTCTTTTAACGTCCAAAGTAAAATATTCACTGGAATCAAGGCTGTAAGTCAACAACGAATTTGCACCTATGTCTGCATCTGATGCGCCCTCTAGCGAAAATCTAGAGCCAGGCTGTCGGGATTCGTAAATAAACAGGTTTTTTACCGCCATTGGAAAAACCGGCGGATTGTCATTAATGTCTTTCACTTCCACCTCCACATGGAAAACCTGCAGCGGCCGCTCCACGATCACCTCCAGGTGGACGCTACACTCTGCGCTCCGCCCGCACAGCTCCTCCCGGTCGATCCGAGAATTCACAAACAAGATGCCATTCTGCAGATTTACCTCCAGAAGGTCCGCGCGGCCCTTGGACGCCACCCGGAACAGGCGGGGCACCAGGTCCTCCAGCTCCAGCCCCAGGTCCTGCGCGATGCGGCCCACGAAGGTGCCGTGTTTGGCCTCCTCCAGGACCGAGTAATGGAGCTGGCCGCTCCCCTCTTCCCAAATTGCGAGGAATAGAAGCGAGAGCAGCAGGCGTTGGGCTCCAGGATCTTCTCGCCAGGAAAATACCATTGCAAGCCTTTCCCAAATATTGTTCGCTCTTGGATCCAGAATTTTTAAAAGAATTTGGGTTCTTTGTTCTTAATTTGTATTCCTCGTTGTAACCGTACTTCCCAGCTGATACAGAAAAGCAGCATCTGAAAGTGTACAGCACTCTGTATTTCTTTTGTGGAGAAAGACCTTGTGGTGGACAGCGACACCATGTGGCTAAATAAGTATTAAGCAGTAAATGAGTGAGTCTTCTTTACGTATTATTTTAACTTCTCCAAAATTCCTATTTTCAGTTGTAGTTTCTTTTGAGCATTCCTCAAAGTCTTTACATTTTATTGAAATACATGCTTAGAACCTTTACACTAATTGTTTTCAGTTATGCCAGCTGATTACATGCAGTCAAACACCGTGATTACTGTTATGAGTGGATGTCTATTGGAAATGTTTCCCACAGTGATAGGCACTGTTCTATTTGTTTTAATGGTATCAGCTCGTTAAATTCTCACAACTCTCCAAGATAAGTATTAATATTATTTTTTTACAAATATTTAAAGGTTAATTTTTATTAACTGGCAGTGTTTGGATGGACTCTCAATATGATTTGAGATGCCATACCTTTATGTGATAGCCTCCCAGGCTACCTTTCATAGAAAAATCAGAGTCTTTGAAATTTGTAACTATCAACACATTAAAGTATTTCTAAAATGTGTGTTCACATACATAAATAAATATACTTTTATATTATGGCAATTGTCAATTTTAAAAATACATTCATTTACATTGATTAATTTGTAGAATACCAATAAATTACTCTTGTGTTCTTTATTCAAGGACTAATTTGTTAATTGCCTTAACTGTTATCTATATAAAGATGCCAGAAGTCAGTCTTTTGCAGAGAAGTTCTTTTGGACATTTGTTTCCTGTTGCAGGACAACACTATGTCATTTGGATATTTGCTACATTCAAATCACATCAAGTAAGAATATGTTTGTTTTAAAATATCCACATCATTTATGCACTTCAACGTACTTACATATCTAAACTAAACACAATGTGAAATAATTGTGTTAAGGATCTTCATTCTGGATGAATTTTGTAGTCCAGTTTTTTAAAAAAGCGGCACCAGCAGGTGGCCTGGTAGCTAAGGTGCTAAACACTCCCACATGACCAAACATGGTTTGAGTCCTGGACCTAGTGGCTTGCTTTCTCTCTCTCTCTCTCTCTCTCTCTCTCTGCATGTATCTCTCTGGTCAAATTAAAATAAATGAATGAATAAATAAAATTAAATAAATAATTCCTTTTTTAAAAGCTGTTACTGGAAATCATTGTGATTTAAATAATTATTGGAGAGAAAAAAGTAACTTTGGAATATGAGTTACTAGTCAACAATGAAATATTCTAAAATCTCTGTTACCTCACTGAGAGACATGAGATCTCTGAGCACCTAGAAGTTGAGCAGACAAAATTCATGGGAGGAAGTCAGAGAGGTAAGAGAATGTCCGGATTTTCACTACATCTAGAATGTTTTTAAATAAAATCAAGCATGTATGAGACCAACAGTTAGCATAATGGCTGTGTCGCTGAACTCCCCTGTAGTCGACTGCGGCTCAAGTCCTGGACACGGTGGCTTAAACTCACGCCAGGTGCATGTGCATGCATGCCCAAGTTCCCGAGAGGAGAATGGAGGAGAAGGCATTGCGGAGTGGCCATCCCCCCGGGGGGTGATTTCTCGCTTTCTTTCTCTCTGTCTCTCTTTCTGGCAAGCGTGCGCGCCTTATAGCAAAAACCTCTAAAAAATAATCAAGCATGTAATTTAAGAATTAGGAGAATTCCACCTTTTTTTCCTATCTACTCACTGAATGGAAGCCAAGATTGTAACTTACATATATTTTATCATTCATATTCAGAATAGAATAAATTATCAATTAATATTTTAGTGAAGAAATAGATTAATATTTTAACATTTTCAAGTAAGATAAGAAAAAGATAAGTTATAGTAATGGTAATTGTTAATATCAAACAACATAATTTATTAATGATTATATTGTGCTAGCTAATGAAGTATGTTTAAACAACGTTTTTTCTGAAAGGCATGAGTTTGAGAAATAATTATAAATATCAATTTTCCATTATTACTTTGGTTAATCTTGAAAGATGGTAACTATAATAGTTTGAAAATGAGAGACATTTTAAAACATCATGGATTCGGGGCTGGCAAGTGGCATGGTGGCTAAAGGCGCTGGACTCCCACATGGCCGACCACAGTTCAAGTCTCAGACCTGGTGGCTTGCTTTCTCACTTCCTCTCTCTCTCTGTCTCTCTCCGATCAAACTGGAAAACAATAATGATGATAATAATAAATAAAGTTAAATACAATAATTCTTTAAAAACAAAACCAAAAAATAATTATGGATTTCATTTTGAGATGCCATGGACAAATTATTGTAATACTACGCATTTCACTGTGTAAAAGTTATAGCAATTACAAAATAGAATGCCGTATGGAAATTTGTAACAGAATAGACCATGCTGATTATCAGGAGATGAACATGATACTGAAAGAACTATGAGTTTAAAACATTGAGTCAGTGTGTAGATAAGATATCAGTGAATAGTTTCTCCTATCGCATAGATACCTCCTTGGGCAACTTAATCAAGAAAAAATGCAATTAAGAATAAGAAATTATAGGGACCAGCAGTTAGTGTAATGGCTATGTTGCTGGATTCCCATGTAGTCGACCGTGGTTCATGTCCCGGATCCGGTGGCTAAAACTCACGCCGGGCGTGTGTGCGTGCACGCCCAAGATCCCCAGAGGAGAATGGAGGAGAAGGGATTGCAGCGTGCCCATCCCCTTGCGGGGTGATTTCTCGCTTTCTGCCTCTCTGTCTCTCTCTGTCTGGCTGGTGAGCGCATGTGCCCTATAGCAAAAACCACTTCAAAAAAAATAAAAAAGAATAAGAAATTATAGGGGCTGGCAGATGGCATAGTGGTTAAGGCACTGTACTCCCACATGGATGACCATGGTTCCACCCATAAGCTTTCTCTCTCTCTCTCTCTCTCTCTCTCTCTCTCTCTCTCTCTCTCTCTCTCTCTCTCTCTCTCTCCCTCCTTCCCTCCCTCCCTCCCTCCCTCTCTCTCTTTCTCTCATCAGTGTATGTGTTCTATAACACATTTTAAAATAATAACAAGTTAAATTAAATAAATTATTCTAAAAAGAAGAATAAATTATAGAACAATAGATTGTGACTCTGGGAGATCTGGACACAGCTATCTCTAACTTTAAAAGCTTATCATTTGACTATAGTTGAATATAGAAGCTAGACTTCCAGTAGGACAGATTCCAGCTGACCAGTCAAACATTTTGTATATAGGTTTCAAGGAGGTTGTGAGTAGCTACTAGGTAGTACTCTAGTCATCCTAATGATTCCTCCCAAGAAAGATCTCCATCCTCTTCGTTCAAGCCATTTGTTTTGTTCTGTAACCCTCAGATTAACTTTTCTGATTCGGAGGGAATATATATTCTCTACATGTTAAGTCTTATCAACTCTGAGGAGCTAATGTTTCCTTGAGCAATACACAGCCCTTAAATGGATTTCGCCACCAAACTCAACACCTTTAAAAGCAGACCCCAAGACTGGTTCCATGGCCTTGTGGCTAAGGCAGCTGAATCCCACATGGCCAATTGCATGGTTTGAATCCTGGTTCCAGGGCTTGAAATACATCCTGGCACATATGTGTGCAGTGCCCAAACAACTAACAGGGTGGAGAAATGGCAGAGAGAGGATTGTGGCATGACCATGCCTGGTTGGGAGGTGCTTTCTGCTTCTTCCTCTCTCTCTCCCTCTCTGGTGAGGACATAGATTCTCTGACAAAAAAAAAAAAACTCACATGGAAATTGATATTCTGGGGACCAGCAGTTAGCATAATGACTGTATCGCTGGACTCCCACGGAATTGACCGCGGTTCGAGTCCTGGACTTGGTGGTTTGCCTTTCTCTCTCTCTACCTCTCCCTTTCTTTCTCTCTCTCTCTCCCCCTCTCTGGTCAAGTTAAAATAAACAAAGTTAAAATAAGTCTTTTAAAAAGTTAAAATAAATTCATTCAGGCTGTTTTCAAATATGATGAAAGTTGAAAGTAACTATTAACTGTTGCATGAACAGATAAAGAAAAATACACCCTAGATCCAAAGAACAATCAAGGAAATATCCAGAATATATAATATGCTCTACTTTCAAACAGATTCTTACAGAATGAATAAATGGCATAAATTGAAAATATGTATTATATAATCAGATTCTTTTTTTTTTTTTTGGGGAGGTTTTTGCTATATTTTTTTTTTGGAGAGGTTTTTGCTATAGGGCACAAGTTCTCGCCAGAAAGACAGAGAGAGACAGAGAGACAGAAAATGAGAAATTACCCCCTGGGGGGTGGCCACGCCCCAATCCCTTCTCCTCCATTCTCCTCTTGGGATCTTGGGTACATGCACACATGTGCCCGGCATGAGTTTAAGTCACTGGGTCCGGGACTAGAACTGCGGTCAACATGGGAGTCCAACAACACAGGCATTACACTAACTGCTGGTCCCTATAATCAGATTCTTTAACTTTATGTAATTGTGATTTTCAGAGAAAAAATATTTACAGAAAATGTTAAGTTTGAAAATGTTACTGAAATGCTTTTTAATCCTATAAGATCATATTAACCCATGGATACATTTAGTTATAGAAAAGCCAAAATGAAGGCCAGCAGGAGCCATAGTAGTTAAGGCACTGGATTTCCACATGGAAATTTCAAGTTCCATACTTTGTGGCTTGCTTTCTCACTTCCTCTATTTCTGTCTGTCTCTGGTGAATTCAATAATAATAATAATAAATAAAATTAAACAAACAATTATTTCTTAAGAAAGAAAAGTGACATGTAAAAATAAAAAAAACTAATTGTTCAAAGGCAAAAATTTAATCTCTAATTCATACCCAACATTGCATTGTAAGGTGATGATATAAAATAATGACAGAGCAATGAATCTAAATAATTAACAGACCCCTAGCTTAGTGGTTAAAGGCGCTGGATCCCATGTGTTTGACTGTGTTTGGAATCCCAGCCCTGATGACTTGAAAAACACATAGGGCCTTGTGTATGTGTGCCCCAAATCCAACA